GCTGGTCCCTGAGCCCCGCCTGTGCTGTTGCCTGCCAGAGGGGACCGGCTGGAGCCTCAGCAGCGCTCCGGGAAGGAAGCCCCCCCAGCCCTGTTACACCCATGGCCCCCCTTGTCCCCTCCAGGCAGGAAACCCACGGGGCCGTGGCTGAGTCAGCAGCACCGCTTGCCCGAGCCCTGCACAGGATGTCCTGTCCGGCACAGCACCGCCCTGGGGTCACCACCGTCCTGGGGACACTGCTCTGCTGCTGTCACCACCATTGAGGACACCAGCACTCTGGCTTGCCAGCACTCTGGAGCAACCACCATTGTAGGATCACCAACTTTTTAGGGACAACATGATCCTGGTATACCATCCTGGGGTCACCACCATTCCAGAGTCCCCACTTTGGAGTGATGATTATCCTGGGGACACCACTGCCCTGGGGTCACCACCAGTCTGCTCTCACTGTGGTTTTGGAGTGACCACGACCCTGGGGATACCACCACCCCACAGGGGACAGCACCACCCCTGACACCACCACCCCGCTGGGGCCAGCCCGGTCCCGGGTCACCGCGGTTTGGGGACCCCCGGCCGCCTCAGGCCCGCGCTTCCCCTGCCAGCCGTGGCGCCCCCTGCCGGCCCCAACCGCGGCCCCGCCCCGCCCCTTTCCGCCGCGTGGGGGGGCGGGTCCTCCCGGGCCGTACCAATCGCGGCGGGACAGGGGGATGACTCCCCGGTGCCCGGTGCCCGGTACCGCGGCCCCACGGAGGTGTGTGTGTGCGGCGGGGCTCCGCCGCCGTCCGGAGCCCGGAGCCCCGCGATGGTCGGTGCCACCAGCCCGGCGCGGCGCGGGCGGGGCGCGGGGGCGGGGCCGGCGCCCCCGCGGGTGGTGCGGGCCGGAAGGTTTAAAAGCGGCGGCGGGGGGGCGGCGGCGGTGCTGAGGAGCCCGCGGCGGGGGATGGCCTGAGGCGCGGTGAGAGCCGCGCGGGGAGCGGGAGCCGAGCGGGGCCGCCGGGGGCCGCGCCCCGGCGCTTTGTCTGCCCGGCTCGAACAAAGGCAGCGCCGCGCCGGCACTCGGGAAAGCACGAGCGGGCGAAGCCGTTTGGGACCGGGATTCCCGAGAAGCAGCCCTCACTCGGGGCTTTGCCCGTACCCCCCGGGCGCTCTCTGCCCCGGGAGGGGACTCGGATCGGGGTCTGCTTTGGGGGGTGCGGGCAGATCGGCCCCTGCCTGCACCCCCTCCTGCCGGCCCCCCTTTCTGACTCTGTTCTCCCGCCGCCCCCAGGTCCTGTCGGGCAGGATGCGCGGGGGCTCCGCGGCGGCGGTGGCTGTTCCCTGGCTGGCCCTGCTGGCCTTGGCCCGGCAGCCCCCCGAGAAGCCGTCGGCCGCCCCCCATCTCACCCGCCGGCCCTTTCTGGTGGCCTGGAATGTGCCCACCCAGGACTGCAAGCCCCGCTTCCAGGTGTCGTTCGACTTTAGCATCTTCGACCTGGACGCCTCCCCCAACGAGGGCTTCGTGGGGCAGAACCTCACCATCTTCTACAAGGAACGCCTGGGACTCTACCCCTACTACACCCGTCAAGGTGTGGCCGTCAATGGTGGTGTCCCCCAAAACAGCAGCCTGTCCGAGCACCTCGCCCGCCTCCAGGAGGGCATCGAGAAGTACATCCGCTCATCCACCAAAGAAGGGCTGGCCGTCATCGACTGGGAGGAGTGGCGGCCTGTCTGGGCTCGCAACTGGAAGCCCAAGGATATCTACCGGGAGGCGTCCCAGGGACTGGTGATACAGCGTCATCCCACCTGGCCCCCTGAGAAGGTGAACAAGCAGGCAGCGTTTGAGTTCGAGTCGGCTGCCCAGGAGTTCATGGTCAAAACCTTGCGCAAGGCCAAGAGCTTCCGACCCAAACAGCTCTGGGGGTTCTACCTCTTCCCTGATTGCTACAACCACGACTACAGCAAGAACAAGGAGAGCTACACCGGGCAGTGCCCAGATGTGGAGAAGTCTCGCAACGACCAGCTGAAGTGGCTCTGGAAGGAGAGCATGGCGCTCTACCCCTCCATCTACCTCGACCCGCTCCTGGACTCCACTCCAAACAGCCGCAAGTTTGTGCGGGCGCGGGTGATGGAGGCCATGCGCATCTCGCAGAAGCACCACGATGATTACTCCCTGCCTGTCTTTGTCTACACCCGGCCCACCTACGTCCGCAAGCTGAATGTACTCAGCCAGGTAGGGCTGCACCACTGGGACATCCTCATTCCAAGCCCTGTGCATCTGGGCTTTGGGGTCACCTGAGGTGGTTCCTCTGCACCTTGCTCCCAATGGAGCAGGGTGGCTCTGGAGGCTGGTGTTGGCACTCATGGTGTTACTGGCAAACACCCATGGTTTGACTGTTTCCGTGTGGTGGGAAGCAGCACCATTTCGCATGGGTTTGCAGCTGGCCCCAGGGAGCAGGAGGGCTGCTTCCTCTCCTAGGACCCCCAGCTCAGCCCCTCTCTGGGGTAGATGATGGGGTGCCACAATTTGTTTCCCTTAGGGATGGGATGTCCGGCAGCAGGACTTGCACCAATGGTGATTATTTCCAGGGAAATGGTACTGCAGGACTCAGGTCCTGGCAGCTGGAACCCTGAGGTGTGTGAGCCCACAGCCCCTGTGCTGTGCTGGCTTAGCCCCTGAGGAGGAGGAGGGCAGTATTGGGAAGCCTGGCCCCCAAGTTGTTGGGACAGTCCCTTTTCCCTGGAGCAGGGATTGGGTCCCTGATCCTGCAGTGGACACTTGGGAGCACACTGTGCTGGGGCTGTGGGTGCTGCATGGGCTCTGTGGGCACTAACCAGACCCTGTCCCCACAGGCAGACCTGATCTCCACCATCGGAGAGAGCGCGGCACTGGGTGCAGCAGGGGCCATTCTGTGGGGTGATGCAGTTGACACCAGAAACCGGGTAAGTTTGGGGTCAATGTGGGATGTAGATGGGTGGAGGGATCACCTGCCCCAGAGGGGAGGACCAGTGGCTGAGCTGTCCTCTCCATCTGAGTTACTTCTCCTTGGGTCTCACCCTGGTGCTTCCCTTTCCCTAGGAGTTGTGCCAGTTAATGAAAAACTACCTGGAGGGGGACCTGGGACGCTACGTTGTGAATGTCACAACAGCAGCAGAGCTCTGCAGCACGACGCTGTGCCAGGGCCGGGGCCGCTGCCTGCGCCAGGACAGCCATGCCGATGTCTTCCTCCACCTCAACTCTTCCAGCTTCCAGCTGCGGCGCCGGGATGCTGACCACCCCGAGCGCCCCCTATTCTGGGCCGAGGGCCAGCTCTCCTCTGCTGACATCCTCTTCCTACGGACCCACTTTCACTGCCACTGCTACCAGGGCTGGCAGGGCAGTGGCTGCCAGACACGTGCTGGCCCCCGCAGTCACGCCCCTGGCCCTTTGGCACCGCTGGGACTTGGGGTGCTGTTGCTGCTTGCAAGCTGGTGCTACTCGCCCCTGGACTGAGCTGCCCTTTTCTCTGGCGGTGTAGGAGGAGCCTATTTAAGATATCCGTACCCTGCCTGGGAGGCAGCTAATTATGGAGGGCTGTCCCTCACTGTGGCGGTGTGGGGGAAGAGCTCTGCGGTTGCCCCAACTCTACCCACCCTGCTGCAGTGCAGGTGCCTTTCATGGGGATGGGGGGAGGAGGGGGACCCCTCTCCTGTTGTAAGGAGAGGGATGGGGGCAAGAGGGACACGGGGGCGGGGAGCGGGTGCTGCGTGGTGCTGATCCCCCGTGTGCTGCCCCACACTGAAGTGCTTTACCTCGAATAAAGCTGGGTCAGACTGAGAGCTGTGGGCTGATGTGGGGCGAGGCGGGCACGGGTCACTCGACTCGCGGACACAAGCGCCGGGACGGGGCGGCGGGAAGCGGTGTGTGTTGGTATGGAGCTCGAGGAAAGCTCTGCTCTGCTGGGAACTGCCCCGCGGGGCCGCAGCCGCTCGGGGAAGGGGCCGCAGCCGCTCGGGGAAGGGGCCGCAGCCGCTCGGGGAAGGGGCCGCAGCCGCTCGGGGAAGGGGCCGCAGCCGCGTGGGCAGCCACGGCCGGGCCACCCACGTGGAGGCTGCGTGCGGCCCCGCCCCGGCCCCGCCCCGCGGGATTCCCCGCGTGGCCCGGCCCCCGGCGGCGCCCGGCACGCGGGGCTCCGGAGCCCCCGGGACTCCGGGTCGCCGTGTGGGGACACCGTGCTTTGCGCCACGGCCGGGGGTGGGTTCATCCCCGCGGGGCCGGGGACACCCCTGGGCCGCGCCCGCCCCTGAGCTCCGCTGTCCCGTGCCACGAGTGTCCCCCAGCGGTGCCCTCGCATGGCTCCTTGTCTCCGACCTGCTCTGCCTGTGCCCGTGCAGCCTCTCCGGCCACTGTCCTGTCCCGAGGGGTGCCCCTGGGCATGGAGCGGCCCCGCCTGGCACAGCCACTCCCTGCCCACGCTCCTCGGCTGCTGTGAGTCCCCGTGCCGTGCTCGCTGTTCCTGCTGTCCTGTGCTGTGGGCGTCCCCAGGCCGTGCCTTTCTGTGCCTCCTGGCCCCACGCCTGAGTGGCCCCGGGCAGTGCCCTCCTGTGGCTGCGGGAGTGTCCCGTGTCTCCTGCCCGGTGCCGAGCGCTCCCTCCCGGCAGTGCCCTCCTCCCGCCAGGGAATGGCCGGCGCTCTCCGCTTGGCGAGCGGCGCAGCCCGCGTCCATCGCCGTGACCTTCCTCCCCCCGCGCCGTCCGTGTCTGTTTGTCTTTCCAGCCCACTCATCGCCGGCCAGTCATGGGGTGTTGACTCTGCGCATTCCTTCCCGGCCGAGCCCGCCGCCGCCGCTCATTACGCGGGGCTGACGCTGCCGTCCCACTCCGGGACCGCTCTGCTGGTCTCCAGCTGCTGATAAATCCGGGGACTTTGAGGAAGTGGAAGTGGTGACCGGCACCGCTTGGAAACGGAGGTGTGGATTAACGCCGGTCCTGACTTGGGGATAAAAGCTTCAAGGTCTCAGCTCTCCCCAGGCAGCTCCAGCACCATGGCATCAGTGTGGTCCTGCTGGCTCCTCCTGCTGCTCCTGCCTGCCCTGACCCATGCTGGGGGGCCTGGTCCTGTCCTCGTCAACCGCCCCTTTGTCACCATCTGGAACATCCCCACTGCGCGCTGCGCCCAGGAGCACAATGTCACCCTCAGCCTGGAGGTCTTTGATGTGTTGGCCAATGACCAGGAGTCCTTCACCGGGCAGGACATCACCCTCTTCTACAGCGACAAGATAGGTCTCTTCCCCTACTACACATCTGAGGGGGTGCCAGTGAATGGGGGGCTCCCCCAGAATGCCAGCCTGGAGGCTCACATCCACCAGGCCACCCAGGACATCAAGATGACCCTGCCCAGCCCTGACTATGCTGGGCTGGCTGTCATTGACTGGGAGAAGTGGCGCCCACTGTGGATCCGTAACTGGGACTCCATGGAGATCTACCAGCAGAAGTCGGAGGAGCTGGTGCGGCAGCAGCACCCGCAGTGGCCTCCCAAGGAGGTGGAGGCGATGGCCAAGCAGCAGTTTGAGAAGAGCGCCTGCGATTTCATGAACAAGACCCTGTGGCTGGGTGAGAGCCTCCGTCCCAGCGCCTACTGGGGCTTCTATGGTTTCCCCGACTGCTACAACAATCACTTTGATTTGCCCTACAACGGGACGTGCCCAGATGTGGAGCAGCAGAGGAACAAGAACCTGTCCTGGCTCTGGAGGAGCAGCCGGGCGCTCTATCCCAGCATCTACCTGCCCCTCTGCCTCAATGGCACCCGCAAGGTTCTCCCCTACGTGCGGCACCGCGTGGCCGAGGCCTTCGCTGTCCAGCAGGGAGTCCTCACCAGTGCCATCCCCGTCCTGCCCTACTCCCAGATTGCCTTCGAGCACACTCTGCACTTCCTTTCCCAGGTGATGGGCATGTGGGGATAGTGGGCACCTCTTGGGCTGATGGGGTGGCACCAGGGAGTCTTTATCTCTGCTGGGGCTGTGTGGGGGCTTTGAGCGCTGCTGACTTCTCCTCTCCCTGTGGGTGCAGGAGGACCTGGTGAACACCATCGGGGAGAGCGCGGCTCAGGGTGCTGCTGGCATCATCTTCTGGGGCAGCCTGGACTACAGCACCTCCAAGGTGAGTGCAGATGGTGGCATCAGGTCCCTGGCAGCAGGGACCCCCAGTTCCTCAGCTGTGCAGGGCTGTGACACCGAATGCCATTGCAGGAGATGTGCCTGAGGCTGAAGGACTACGTGGAGGGTCCCCTGGGCCACTACATTGTCAATGTGACAGCCAGTGCTGACCTGTGCAGCCAGAGCCTGTGCTCTGGCCAGGGCCGCTGTGTGCGCCGGGACAAGCAGCAGGGCTACCTGCACCTGGACCCCTCCCGCTTCTCCATCAACCTGCGGGCTGCCAAGCCCTGGCTGGTGACACAGAGCCTGGAGCCTGGGGAGGACATCTCCAAACTGGCCAAGGAGTTCAGCTGCCAGTGCTATGACAAGTGGCAGGGACCCCGCTGTGACACCCAGGGCTTGGCCAAGTGACCCCCCCAGGCAATCCTCCCACCCTGGGGACACTGGGGCACACAGGGTGGCACTACCTCAGCACCCTTGCCATGGGGTTGAGAACCTGACTGTGGGATTCTTAATAAAACCAGGAAGCACCAGCAAGTGTCTCCTTGTCTTCTGCTGCAGCACATTTTGGGGTGGCAGGGTCCTCCTGGGGCACCACTGCTGCCTTGTGGTGCTGCCAAGGGCTGTCCTTTGGGCTGGGAGCTTGGGAGGTAATGCCTCAGAGAACCCACAGGAACAAAAATTTATGGGAAAAGACATAGCAAGAGGGGATGATGGGGGAAGAGGATGAGAAATGGAAAAATGATGGGGAATGGCCAAAGAGTGGAGGCAAAGGGGGTGAGAAGATGTGATTGTGTGGCTGTACTTGAAGGAGGGTGTGCTTCAACTCCTCACTGTGCACAGAGGAGTGGCCTGAAACCAATGCCCCCACTTTGATTTTCCCCTGGATAACTATATGCAAGGCAGTTAAGCCCACAAATGATATGCAAAAGCACTGATATCTGTAACCCAGGCCACAGACTTAACTGTACCTATTTCAAAGCAGCTGGGAGAAGACATGAAACCCTGGCCCAGCTGAGATAAAGATGTTGGCATGTTCATCTTGGGGTGGGGAAATCACATGCTCATTTCTCTGATTTTAGGCTCTAATTCAGGTAATTCTAATTCTCTCATTCTAATTCTCTAATTCTCTCATTTTTGGGACTGCCCTGCATGGCACTCTGTGTGTATTGGGGACTTACAAAGCTGCACCCTTAATTTTTAAGCTGGTTGGTGTAAACCATTGCAGAATTACTACACTTCTTATGTTCACTTCTTATTATTGCATTGAGGAGGATCTGAGAAGATACCACAGGAAACATAATTAAGCCTTTGGATTCCCTAGTCACAGCTTTCAGAAACATATACTCTGTTATTACCAAGCTCTTTGACAAGCTGGAGGCCCCTGAAAAAAATTAGTCATAATTGGATTTTGGCCCAGAATTAATAGTTTTATCTAATTCTTATAGAGATAGCTTGGTAAATGTGTGTTAATATTGGAAACAATATTATCTTAGTATTTTTTGTATGTGAAATGTGTTTTAACTTACATGAACACTCAAACACGCTCCTCCCAAGCTACAGGAAATCTGATATTTGCTCTGTATTAAATACTGAAATTGAAAGCAAAGTTCACCTTGCTATTCACACAAAGAAAATTACCATGAATTTCAAGTCTTCCTTATGCCTGGAAGGGATCAGAGCTGTGTGCTTGTAACTTGAGGTAATTTAATACGCTTCAAGTATTCAGCTACTGGTGCCTAATTGGGGGCTGGTCTGAGGTTCTCCTGGACAGTATTATCTCAATCCATTAACCAAAGTAAGCACTGAGGTGGGCATCAGGAAAGAGACATTTCCTCAGGAGCTGCTGAGGCTCTGGCACTGTCAGAAGCCACAGAAGCCCTGCAGAAACCCTGTCTCCAAGTGTGGGTTTGTGGCTTTTCTTAAAGAAAAGTGAGGCTGGGAAGTGACAGACTTCCCTTATTTCTTGGAACAGCTCCTTTTCTTGTTATTGAAATAATGCAAACTTAGGCATGAATGCAGTTTGCCACTTTCAAATAATAGCTTTGAATGTGTAAGAAGATTTGCTTTATTCATCCTACTTATTGTAGCTCTTCTTCTGTCCTTGCCCCTCACACTGTGTCTAAAACCACCAAGACACTGAATTTCATGTAATTTAGCTTGTCTTGCTCCAGACTCAGGAATGGAGACTAGAAAGGCACTGCATGTGGTGCCAGCAGACAATGTGGAAGCACGGAACATCTGCTGGGTGTTTTTTTCCAGGTCTGAAAACCTGTCTGTGTGTCTGGCTGTGTAAGGCAGCCTGCCAGAGCCAGCCCACAGGCTGGGGTGTGCTGGAGAGCAGCCAGCAGTGACCCAGGCACGGGCCTTGTGTGGGCACAGCTCTGCCTCTGGGCATGGGCTCAGGCTGTGATCACAGCAGCTCCTGATCTCCATGCTCTGGGGGACTGGCCAACCTGCTGTGGGCACAGCTCACTTGTCACTGCACCACAGGCTTCACACTAAATCAATTTCTAGGCTCTTTCCATGTGCTGCTCGAAGAAATGAGGGAAGACTGTCACTTAGAACTGTCCTTACATTGCCAGGTTTTTAATTTCAATGGCTCATTATCTTTTTGTCTATGTTGTTTAAGACTCATATCTCCACAAATAATCCCAAGTATTTACCATAGTTAACTATCCACAAATAGTCCCAAGTATTTACCATAGTTAACTATCCCAAACAGAGAGAAATTAACTGCTGAGTGCTCTGAAGGCAAAATTATAATTTTACAATCTAGAATGAAGATACTTGTAATGAGGAGCCTTTAAATGCTTTGATGTAACCAGGACATAAGTAGTTCAGCTGAAGGGTAAGGTCTAGATTAAGTCTTGCATAAAACAGATGGAAGGAAGCCCTTCCAAGGAATTCACAAGCTTCTCAGATACAAACAGGATATTAGTAGCTTGTTATTTGCCTAATAAGAAAAGTTCTCATCTGCCTTGTTCCCCTGACTAAAAAACTCAGAATCTGTGTAGAGATATTTCCCATGTTGTTAGAAATCAGTTTAGTCTGACACTGAGACATTGTTTTCAGTTCTGCTTGGATTAACAGCCCACACCTATGGTTAGATGACCAAGGGGGTGATGCATTTTGGGACTCCAGAAGTTGTTTTAGGTCCCTATTAGCTATCATTTGCTGTTGCATTTCCCTTCATCCAAAGATCTGGACTGAAGCCATAAAACCAAAATCAGGAGTATGTGAAGCAGATCCTTCCAGACCACTTCTGCATCTCTTCCAGCTGGATGCTGAGCTTCTCCTGTTATACAAGTACAAACCTCTCTTGGAAGAAATAAATCCTTCCCCAAAAGAGATCGCAGCAACTGTTATGTCTTGAAATTAAAGAGATGGCATGTGACTCTTTAAAATGCCCTTTATTCCATTGGCAGTGCATGGGAGGCTCGTGGCACACAGGGCTGGTCACTCAGAGCTCAGGTTGCTCCGTGGGTGGAAGCTCAGGGGCAGAGAGGAGGGCTGGGGCAGGTTTTTGTCACTCTGCAGCTGCAGAAAGCCCCCCCTAACTCCCAAACACACTCTGCTCTGCTGTGCCCAGAGCTTCCAGGTGAGCAGCTCACCCAGCAGGAGCAGCTGAGGGGAGGCAGAGAAACATGAGACCAGGAGGAGGAGGCAACAGCACAGAAACTGCCTCCAATGACACTTGAGCCTGTGAGCAGCTGGAGGGGCTCCCCAGAGCAGCAGAGGTTTCATTGCCTCTGAATAAAGCACCCCCCGTTTGCCAGTAGCACTGAAGGTGTGCACAAGGCTTCACTGCTTTCCTGTTAATGCTTTTAACTAAAACTTGCCACTTCTTTTTCACGTGCAGTGTCAAAGTTCACTTCTGATTATTGTTTCAAAAGTGAAACATCAGCTCCTACAGAAATAATTTCCAGAGCTTGAATGCCAGACTCTGTATCCCAACCCCCTCAGTGTCACTCAGAGCAGCACCGACTTGAACACAAATTTTTTAAGTTACCTAAAGAGAAAGTGGCTCTTTCTTACAATGCCTTGGTATCTCTGTATCTCTGTTTTGTTTGAAAATCACTCACTCCAAACCTTTTCCCTTGCTCAGGCATTTCGAGAAAAGAGGTGAAAAGGTTTATAAAAAACATACCATATTTAAGAAAGATCTAAAGTTGTCTTCAGGGGCCACAGACTCTGCTACTGCCCTGGACCTGACATCCCTTGTTTCCGAGAAGCAGCAGGAATATCAGCCTTCATTCCTCTGATTCACCAGATTGCAATTTCAGAAGTTACTTGGAAACAACAAAAGTGAGCCCTGAAGCACCGTTTGTGGGCTCCCAGGGAGTGTTTAAACATCCAGCACAAACAGCAGACCTTGCTTTATGCTGAACAAACAAAAAATGCCTCTGCGCTGGAGAACGTGTCCCACTTTGTTCCAGAGCTTTCTGAATCTGCCATTCCTGGGGCTGGGCAGCAGAGCAGCATTTCCACCACAAGAATGTGGGCGCAGCAGCAGCTCCTTTGTTGGGAGTGCTCCCGGCCAGCCTCGCGCAGGGCTGGGCCGTGGGCTGCAAGGGCTTGCAGGTTTTCTGCTCGAGAAAAGTCTGGTTTGTGTTTTTCACTGCTGGTGGGACTCTCAGAGGCAGAACACTTGTCCTGTTTGCAGCATCTCTGTGCTCTGATTTGGCAGCAGCTTCCCTCCTGGTTATTTTCCACCCTGGGGCTCTAAAACAGGCTGAGCAGTGTCCTGTGCTGGCATTAGTAAATCAGCAGGAGCGTTATCAACAGCCTGAGGAGGTCAGAGGGAGGCCCTGGGAGTGCTTCCAGTGAAGCTGCTGGCTTGCACTGTATAGAACACCTTGTAAACTCATTTTCCTCCAGTTACATGTTAAGCATAAAGCCATATAGTGCTCCAAACTCTGCTCTAATCTGCTGGTGCAGACTGCAAGCAAACACCAAACAATATAGCAAAACATTTTGTGGGAACTGTCCTGCATTTGACTGTAACTTCTCAAGAGGAAAGATTTCATTTGACAGGTTACTGGTCCTATTCCCCAATTAAGACATAAACAGTTGTAATCCTCTGTGCTGTTGGGCAGAGTTCAAGGTTAGTTTCAGCAAAAACAAACCAAGTTAGAACTGAAGCAGGGAAAAAAAAAAAAAAACAAACCAACCCAAAATTTGGAGGCAGAACCTGCCCGCAGTACAAAGCCTATATTCTTTATTATCTTATTTGTTTTAATACACACCAGCTGATACCTGCACACAGGAGATACCAGCTGAGATAACAGGAAGGGAGTTCAATATTTAAGGCTTGGCTTTTCTCACCATAGCAACAAATCTGTAAGGAGAGTAAGAGGACATGGATAAGTGGCAGCATCCAGCCCAGCTGGCTGCAGTGGGCAGGCAGC